CTCCACCTGCCATGAATACCAAAACCTTAGAACAGCTTCTTCAGGAGCCATCCATTCTTGCTCCATCTTCTCAGCCACACACCGTCACTGTTCAACAACCACCGCAAGTCCAGCAACCAGCTCTTGTAACACAGCAGGTAAGTGGAGTCTTCTCAGTTTTGAGAATGACAGCTTTTCTTCTTCTTTCAAAGTCTGATAAGTATCACGAAACAAGGTAATGATCCTGATATTTGCCTTGTAAGTACCAAAATAATAGAGGAAAGTCTAAATTTAAAAATCGTGTTAAGAAATTGTCAAACATTTTTTTCAGAAAATTGCAAAAACCAGGATATCTTTTATATTAATTTATAAATCTTGGAAGAGAGAGGTCTGTACAGTTTGGCTATAAATTATTATAATTATACATGTGCAATCCTGTACATTGCATAGAAAAATAATTTATTGCAGGGACAAAACTGTTTTAAGAGAGGCAAAGAGAGCTGCTTGGAGATTTATGTTCATGAATTATTGCTCATTAATAATTATTATAGGATATACTGTGTATGCTATAAATTAGTTTTTTTTTTCTTGGGCCCTGAAAAACAAATTTGGTTCTTGAAAAGTCCTTGAACTACTAATTACTTGAAAATCCTATGTATAAACTGCAAGTTGTTACTGCCAAGTATCAGTGTTGTCTTATTGAGCTTTTGTGATTTTTTGGTCATTTTACCATCAAAAGGTTCAACAAACTTCACAGACAACTCCTCAGCTTTTGCAGCTGTTGCTACAGCAGCAACAACAACAGTTACAACAACAGCAGCTGCAGCAACTTCAACCAAAACCTCAGCAGCCAACACCACAGCAACAGCAGTACCCTGCTGTCCAACCAACGTCAAATCAGAATGTTCTGCTTCAGCAGCTTTTGCAACAGCTCGGTGTGCTCCCTAAGCAGACGGCTACTTCAGCAGCACCACAACAGCAACATGTGACAGTTCCCGAAGAACAGCTGTCTCCACAGCAACAGGTTCCTTCTCCTGGGTCCGCGTCATCGTTGTCATCAACTCCGGGATCCCCTCTTCAGCCAAGTTCTCCAGTGTCTCCTGTTCATTCGCATTTGCAGGTTGCCAGTCCCCAGACACAACAAGTGAGTGACTTCATTATGAATCCCATCATATGGACTTAAATCTACATGTACCTTAACCAAGAAAAATGAGTGCATAGGTTTCATTTTTCATTGCATTGTATATATCCACTAGGCTCATCTCCAGCCACAGATTGTCAAGACTGATTCTGCTGCCACTGTCATTGGAACTATAGATTTGAGTCAATCACAGATCCAGCCTACACTCTCTCAAGGACCCAATGGTGTCCTTACAGCTACCATTCCCATTGTCTTGGACCCTAACAAGATTCCTATCAGTCGTCTGACAAATTCCAAGGGGCAAGGGGGAGTGAAAACGGAAAAGCGTTCAGCTCACAATTTGATCGAGAAACGATACCGCACCAGTATTAATGACAAAATTGTGGAGTTGAAAGACCTTGTTTGTGGGCAAGATACCAAGGTATGGCCATAGTTGGTAACAGTATTTAACTTGTATTTTCAGTTGTTGGAGGAGGTTTAAGAGTTGTCATAGTTAATGATAAGAACTGGTGACTGGCAAATACTACCTTCAAGTAGTTCTGCGCATGCTGGGCACATAAGGAACAATCTTAAAGTTCTATTGCTTTTACAGTAACTGTCACCTTTTCATTTCTCCTCCAAGCTGAACACAATGAGAAGGATGTGGGGATTTTGCTTATAACCTGTTTGTGTTATGTTCATCATTATTTTGGTGTCTAGAGTAATTCACAATAATATTATTCACACTGTTGTTTCAGATGAACAAAGCTGGTGTATTAAGGAAGGCGATAGAGGTTATACTGAAGCTTCAGAATGACAATGCACGTCTCAAACAAGAAAACATGGCATTGAAGATGGCGCAGCAAAAGAGAGGTAAGAGTTGTTTAATTTTTGTAGTTTGTTTCGTTACAACTTTTATGTTGAAATGTGCTGGAAACCAAGGGTCATGGCACTGTACTCAACATTCCTTAATTTAATTATTAAGCTCGGTGTGTTGCCATGACTGGGTCACTTTTCTTAACAAAACCAGTATGGTGCATACATACATATTTACTTTTATTAAATTGTTAACATTACCAAGCACATTCATCAAGCATTCAACCACAACTAATATTGAACTGTCATTCGTTTATTATCAACTAGAAACCATCACTGAGCTTGTTCGAAAGCAAAAGGAACATCAGATAAAGAAGGAAATAATAGAAGAAAGTGATATCACTGACTCAGCAGTTACACAGTCTCAAGATGCCAGTGAGATTGAGGAAATCGCCAAGCCTAGCACTGTCATAGCCAATCCATTAACTCCACCAACTCCAGATCCTTTGACGAAGGACAAGACTCACATCAAGGTGGAAGCCTTGCCTGTCAGCAGCTGTGGAATGATGGATCGAACCCGTGTTGCTTTGTTTGCATTCATGTTTACCTTCTTGTTTGTCAACCCTTTGAGTTATGTCATTCCCCAGCTGGACAAAGGTAATTATGTGGTGCTTTATCTAGTAAATCAAGTCTTTGGCATGTAATAATTATATACAATATAGGGGAATCTTTGTTTGCAATGTTTTCCTCATTAGTACAATCAGTTCAGTTTCTGATCAAGCTACAAAAATGTCAGTCCTTAATATAGGGGCATAGCATGAATAATTTCCCAAAGGAATTTGAGCCCGATGTATTGAATACTCCTTTTTGCGACACTGGTATCAAAAATTCCAAATTTTACAAAGAATGTATGAGCTCATGAGCACTTTTGCCACCCAGACATTTTGCAGGTTTTGAAAGCCAATTACAAAGTTTTACATGATTCAAGCTCTTTAAATGTTTGGAGTCAATTTCCTTCTAGTGTGATGCCTTCCCAGTGCAAAGTTCTATGTTAATGTACAAAAACAGGAGCAATGACTTAAAAGTTCACTCTATGTGCTGTAAGCGTTGGCAATTGTTGTAGATATTCTGTATTGACAAGATGACACTGTGCTTTTTACAAACAGGCATTCTTTTCTCCGACTCTTTGCAAAGCGATCGGCCTCATGCTGGTGGAAGGACTTTGAATTCATACGATGATGCCAGTTCCATGCAGCAGGACAAGTGGCTGATAAGTATTGTGCTTCTCATGGTCAAGTGGCTCCTTCATGCAGTCATAGCCATTGCAGTGCTGGTGCGCATCTTTGTGTTTGGTGAACCGGTGACGCGACCACACTCTAATAATGCAGTCCTGTTCTGGAGACACAGAAACCAAGCTGATGACGATTTGGCCAAGGTACATGTATGCATGGTGTTATTTGCCTTGGGGTGGCTAAGATTGAGCGATTCACTGAGGGACCTTTGTCCTAGGATGGGTTTTGAGACCAAGTCCTTCCACACATTCTGTTCCATTGTCAAAACTCAATGTAACTGTCTTTATGGTCTCATTACTTGTAGGGTGACATGATTTCTGCCTCACGGCATCTGGAGATCTGCCTGAGGGCTCTGAAACGTCCACTTCCTGTTTCCAAGCTTGATGTAGCCTGTGGCCTGACCTGGCAGTTAATGCGTCATGTTCTTCACAGGCTGTGGATTGGAACATGGCTTGCTTCTGCTGCTGGGGGAATAAAGCTGCGGAGTGGAAGCTGTGACACCAAGGACCATGCCAGAATATCAGCAAAGGATGCAGCCATGGCGTACCATCAGTTACACCAATTGAGCCTTACAGGTACTATAGATTTGATATTTGAGAGTGAAGTGAAGACACGATTGATCATTGCAGTTATATAAACAACTTAATCAGTTGTGAAACTAAGGCCTGAAAAAAAATCTGTTGTTAGTGTTGATTAAGTGTGGTGAAAACAGATAAGAAGAAAATGGAGATAAATCTCTTTCACACCCCCTCATGCCTCAAGTCAATTTATGTGGTCAATATGTTTGTTCTAGGTCATGTTTCGGTGAATGGATGGCGATCTTCCTTTCTTGGCCTGGCAGCAGTGAACCTTGCAGAGTCTGCTGGGAAGCTAATTAGCATAGATGTCTTGGCAAAGATCTATGTGTCAGCTGCAATTCAAATAAGGACTTCATTCCCTGAGGGGCTTCACTTCATTGCAGTAAGTTTGACTTCATTCACAATGGTTTCATATCAGGGACTTCCAAGGACTCTTCAAGCTGTACATGTATTAGTATTACTGCTTTCATGGGACCTTTCACTTTACTTTTCTTATATGAGGAGGGCTTGAAAAAGTGCTGTCTGGTCATCCAGGATAAGTGGATTTTCCTGTTGTCTGATGTGCAAGGTCCCAGACAAGTTGTCTGCCAGCTAAACAAAAAAAAAAGTGTAAACTAAAGATTTGCCCAGGGCAAGCAACATTTGAGAGCTGCTTGTCTGAAGGGAAAGCTGAAATACAAGTTTTTCTTTTGAGCCCTGAATGTGACTAATCAAAATTTTAGTGTTCTCTGGACTGCTTTTGTAGAATTGCTAATTTTAGGCTACATGATTTCAGAGATACTTTCTTAGCCGTGCACAGGCATCATATGCAGGTCATGGTACAACAGTTCCTGCTTCACTTCAGTGGCTCTTCCGGCCACATGGACATCGTTTCTTTGTCAGCAGCCGGTGGTCTTGCAAAGGAGGAGATAGCTTGTGGGCCAGTGTCAACAATAAAGGTAAGAAGAACTTGACTGGTCGTATTAGACAAATTTAGCTAGTTGGACCTAATGTGTTTTTACAAAAATGGATGTCAGTTCTCTCTTGTTCATAAGCTAAGCAGGGTGGGTTAATGCCTGTGTTTTACCATTCATTGTAAGTTCTGCTACAATCTACTGTAGTATGGTCTACTTAACATGCAAAAAATTTCGAGCAATTCTAATTTCAGGCAAAAGAAGTGCCTGAAAATAAAACTGTCCAAAATTTTTTAGCATGCAAATTTTTAAGCATCTGAAATATTTACAGTACTGTGTAAGACTTTCAATTAGTTTCAAAGCTCTTAGTGCCCTTCATGGAGCGAACTCTTGTTATGACACAGGTTGAAATTCATAAGAATTTGAGCTACATTGTACAGTGTAAATCTTCTTGCCTGTGTACATGTATCTCAGTCTGTAAAACCTTGAAGGTGCAGTAAAACTATCATTTCACAGATGGTGTCTGAAACTTTTGTACAAAATTTGTGTGATATGCGATGAAAAATGTCCAAAAATTAAGCATCCAAAATAAAACATCCGAAATTTTTTGTGAGTAATGTACCTTTGGCAAGCACATCCATTGGTGAGTAGTTAAATGTTCAAAAAATATTCAACCTTTGCTAAAGAGACAACGGTTTAAATGTATTATTTTCTATATAGCTGACCCAGTTGCCCATGTAAGTCAAGCCTTCCGGGAACATCTCCTTCGCTATGCACTGTCCTCCATTGTATTGCCCAGTTCAACTGATGACGACACTACAGGAGATGAAAGTGCCCGTGATGCCCTGAGTTACCTACACATGCTGAATGAGTGTGCGTCCACCAGTGAGAAGCACATGAACATGTCGTCAGCTGTCGGCGATGATCAGGTGGCAAAGTGGTGGGTGGCAGTGGGGATGGTGGCTGTTTATTGGTTGCAGGGTGAAGACGAGGCAGCTGAGAGGTTTTACAGCACAGTGGAAAGTGTTCCCAAGAGTCTGTGGAATGCAGAGTATGTTGGGATAAGTTGAACTAATACGTCTGTATCTCTCTATATAAAGCCCCTCCAGCCTCAGGCTTAAACCTAGATAACAATCATTTCTGGTTCTGTGTAGTTACTGTGTTATATATATTTTTTATTATTTAGACTAGTTTGGGGGGGGGGGGGCAGGGGGGAGCAAGCAAACAACTAAACAAATAATTCAAATTGAAAACAACATTGTTAAGAATCCCAACTAGTTTATTTGATATGAGTTTTTCTGTTCTGATTCTTAGCAAGTAGAGCAGTTACTTGATTATAACTGTTTGTATCATATACAAAACGAAAACATGGTCGCACATCCCTTGTCTGCCATCTTGTGTCTATCCAAAAGGGCATTGCTTGGTGTGCCTGTGGATGGATTTGTTCATCGCGGTCCTGAATTCAGTTATATATGTAAACAGTAGCCTCCATTTGGTGCGAAAATATGCTTGGATGTTTGTCCTCAGACATCATCTGTTCCAAGAAGCCAACTGCGAGCTTTGTTTGCAATATTGGGAATCAAAGAAAAATTATTAAGTTCTTGAGGAGATTTCCCATGTTGACTTTGACTCCTTCATTTTGCAGAGACCCTGTAGCAAACTGCAGAGATCCATTAGCCAAAGCTCTTCTAAGAGCTTATCTGGCCAAGAAGCAAATCCTGAGTGGAAGCACACTGCCCAGCTCCCTCGAAGACTGTACACAGCTGTGCAAGAAGTCAGGCCTTCATCTGCAGGAGAGCATCAACCTGTCGTCCTCTTTGTACCAGTCCAGCACTAACCGACTGCATCAGTTGGCTCAGCTGCTGTGCTGTGATTGGCTGCTGGGTACACGCAAAGACATCTGGGAATTATCACAGAAGTCTCATTTTGGCACGACGGTCCCAACTGATCCAGTGGAGCTACGTTCATTTCAGAATGATCTGGAGAGTTTACAGAAACTCACACACAACCTCCCTGCAGCTCTTCCAAGGGTAAACTTTCACTGCCTAAGTCTGTTAAGCTTTTCATCTGTTTTTTCATGTGGTGCTGTTTATAATGTTGTACCCATTATGTTTCTAGCTTTGGATGTGGTTTAAACCCTAGCGTGTGGCTGTAAATGAAAGCTATTGAACACCTCGTTCATGTGGTTCTGTTTATTATGTTGCACAAGATGTTTCTAACTGTTTCTAATAGTGTAGAAGAAACCCTAGCATGTGACCATTTTGTTTAAAAGCTACTGACCAGCACAAAGGACAGTGTAATGACAGTTGAACTGGAATATTTCATCACTCGCTTAAGTTGCAATTGGCCACATGAGATTGCTTTTGGTTAGATGGCAACGGTAGTTAACTTAATCGCTCTACACCATGAAAAACATTGTTTCGTTTTCTTTTATCTGTCTGCGCAACGGTAATTAATGTGCTGCTTCACTTAATTCCTTTTTATTTTACTCAGCTGTATTTGTACGAAGCTGTTGCTCGTCTGATGGCAGGAGCCAATCCTACAGAGACTCACCATCTGTTACAGAGGAGCACCTTGAGGCAGCGAGTGGTTACTTCTCATCATCACAAAGGACACCAGCCTGAAGATGCAGGTATATTAGTTAGCCAATGATCGACTGCTAATATCTCTATGTAATCTAAATACATCGTCAAGTGGGCAGGTGATGAGAATAAAGACGTTTATGTAGGGGAAAACTCTAACCTAACTTGTTCACGTTACGGTTTTTCATTAACTGTCCAAATCTTCTCCTTGGTGCTTACTGGCTCGTTATCACCTCTTGGGTGTTTATCTGTCGTAGAAAACTAAAAATATATTCTACGAAAGTAAAACCCGCATGTAAGAACCTAGTGGTTCAAGAACCTGATGGGAGATATTTGCCATTTTGTGAAACCCCCATAAATTAGCATCTGTCTAGCCGAGCAAGATCAAGCAGGCTCTTAAATGTGGGTTACAGTTAAATTATGAACTCTTGTTATAGAGGCAACACTACGCAGTAGTCATCCTGTAACACAGTTGTGAATAAACACTACATTTAAGGACCAAACCCAAGTTTATTTATTTTCTCTGGTAATCAAAAGCTATATCTTCCTCATAGAAATTAGGAACCTAATAAGAACCTACGTAGCCAGAATTGTCAATAAGTGCTCCAAACTACAAGAACTCGCGTGTTCGTACATCCGAGTTTTAACTGTTTTTGGCTTGATAACATCTTTACTATTTTTCGATTTCTTTTTGCAGGTGACGAGGAGGAATCCACGTGTGTAGCAGGCGAGCGGGAGAAAGCAGCAGCCCTTATGATGGCTTGTCGGCATCTTCCTCAACCATTCTTGTCCGGCCCATGCCAGCGGAAGAAGATGCTGGTTGAAGCTGCAACGTCTTTGGAGAAGATCGGAGACAAGCGAGCCCTGCAAGAGTGTCAGCAACTTCTGCTACAGCTTAACACGGCTGTTGAATGACACTGGATTGCTTTCATTGCTTAATTACATGTAGTATTATTTTGCTTGCTGTAATCAGTGTTCATCTTGGCATACCGTGAGACTTTTTGTAAGCGGCTGTAAGCCTCAGTCCTCTAGTGTAGTCAAAGCATTAACGACTAGAATTCATGAAAAGGAGGGAGAGCTTGTGATTCGCGTCGCGTCGTCCTTGAATTCCATCATAGAGCGGTTTTTACCACAAGGCAATCAGTTGTTGAGTTTCTGGCCCAAGAAAAATGCTTTATTTTTCCTTTATGGTTAACTTATTGTAATCAGGAGCTCCGCTGTTAGGCTTGGCTAAGTCTACGTATTAGAGCATTTTTCACCTGAGTGTAGAAAGTAGTTCGGATTTGTTTTGGTCTACACGATTGGCTGAAAAAGAAAAACTCGCGCCCCTTAATCATCCAATCAGAAAGAAAACCAAAAACATTCGTTATTTGCCCGCGCATGTTTTCCCGCGCTTTTCGTCGCTACAAGTATTTGATCTTGGAAATTTGATTGGTTCACTGGATTGTCCGTGTCCTTTGTGATTGGCCAAAATTATAACTTTGGTGATGGTTTGAGGCACTCAATTGAAAACCTTTCTTGTTGAGACGTTTTTCGTGTGGTAGCATTTTTGTAAGACTGCGACTACCGTGTTTTCTCGATTTAACGCCCCCAGCGTTTATTTCAAACTTCAGGTGTTTATTTGATTTTTGCAATTTATTCGATTGTATTAGAGTTTTTATTCATTATTTGTAGAGCTTAGTATCTTATAATTATACCTAAAGTTTATTATACCTCGGACATATATTTTCTGAGGATCTAGTTTAGGAGAACCGACGTTTAGGAGAACCGACGTTTAGTCGAGACCTGACGTTTAATCGAGAAAATACGGTATACCATTTCACACTTTACAGATAGATTATCTTAAATATCGAATAAACATAGATACTATAATTTGCTAAAACAAAGAAACCGCAGCATTTTATTTTACGA